AATCAGACTATAAAGGTTTTATTAAGAAACAATAAATCATTGTCATAGCACGAGTTGAACTCTGATTAAATACTGAGACTCTTTTTACTGGTTGAGATTGAAGGGTCCAATCTTGGCACACTAAGAAGCAGAAAAACATTTTAATTTAAAGTTTTTAATTACAGTGCTGTCAGCTTTTGTCTTAACATCATTAGGACCATTTTTTCCTTGTAACATTTTGCAACCCCCCCCCTCCTCTCCCATACACACACAAACATATACATGCACACACACACAAACATATACATGCACACACACACAAACATATACATGCACACACACACAAATAAATAAACTAACAATGTAACAATGATAAGTATCCTACCCTTCCTTTTTACAAAGTACACACACATTTTTATACATGACATTACAAACCTTCTCCATGAAGTTTCCATGACAGAATATTAACGTGGTAATGATGACAGGCGCTGGCTGGAAGTTTGGGAAGAGTATAGTAGAAAAGCATTTTAGAAAGGACAGTCACTGTCAGCTAGTCTATTGGTTAAAGTAATCTTTGTTTGATTTGAACACACAGATTCTCCTCCGAGCCCCAAACTAATCATCTCAGGAGATCTGAAGGAGAAGGAGTCTGTCACTATAACCTGCTCAGCTTCCACTCCCTGTCCACTCTCCCCTCCTAAACTCACCTGGACTCTCAAACAAGACTCTCTCAACAACATGGAGGAAAACCCAGATAAAACCTTCACGACTAAAATCCAGGAGCAGATCACTCTGACGGACAAACATGATGGATACAACATCACCTGTTCTGCCACATATCCTGTGAATGAAGGAAAAGAAGTCAAGACAGCAGAGGAGACACAGACTCTCAGAGTTTCATGTGAGACAACCAGAGATTGTTATTGGATCCTGTCAGAATGAGATGATTTTAAAGATGTTTGCTGTTTTTAATGAAATATGTTTATCTAACATTTTCCTCAGATTCTCCTAAAAACACCTCAGCGTCCATCAGTCCATCAGGTTTGGTGTCAGCAGGTATTCATGTGAACCTGACCTGCTCCAGCAGAGCCAATCCTCCTGTCAGCAGCTTCACCTGGTTCAAGATCAGCAGAGATGGACCCATGATCGTATCTGAAGGAGAGTTTTACAGCTTTAATGCCACAGAGGGAGGAGTTTATTACTGTGTGTCCACGAATGATCTCAGTAATCAGACATCACCACAGATCCATCTGAGTGTTGCAGGTAAAAACTAGAAGTGAAAAAGCTTCTCTTCTTTTATTCTAATTTGTTCTTTTGTTGTTTTCTGTTTGTGTGTTTTGGTCGGTTATTTTCATCTCTTTTTGAATGTACCCTCTTTACTGCATTGGTATCAAACAGTTTAACAAACGATCGCTGCAATATTAACTCTAAATGTCTGCATACCACCCAACCTTTCTTTAATTCAGATATCACAAAAGCAAAACTATGTGGGAGATGTGACTCTATGTTTAAACACTTTAGACGACAAAAACAAACAAAACAGAAACCAGCAGGAACTAGTGACAAGTGTTGTGTTGTGTGTGTGTGTGTGTGTGTGTGTGTGTGTGTGTGTGGTGTGGTGAGTGTGAGTGAGTGTGTGTGTGTGTGTGTGTGTGTGTGTGTGTGTGTGTGTGTGTGTGTGAGTGAGTGTGTGTGTGTTGAGGATGTTGAAGGGCTGTGTGTGTGTGTGTGTGTGTGTGTGTGCGTGTGCGTCTGTGTGTGTTTGTGCGTCTGTGTGTGTGTGTGTGTGTGTGTGTGTGCGTGTGGGCGTACGTCTGTGTGTGTTTGTGCGTCTGTGTGTGTGTGTGTGTGTGTGTGTGTGTGTGTGTGCGTTTGCGTGCATGTCCATGTCTGTGTGTGTGTGCGTCTGTGTGTGAGTGTGTGTGTGCGTGTGTGCGTGCGTCTGTGTGTGTGTGTGTGTGTGTGTGCGTGCATGTGCGTGTCTGTGTGTGTGTGCGTCTGGTGTGAGTGTGTGTGTGCGTGCGTCTGTGTGTGAGTGTGTGTGTGGTGTGTGTGTGTGTGTTGTGTGTGTGTGTGTGCGTGTGTGTGTGTGTGTGTGTGTGTGAGTGAGTGTGTGTGTGTTGAGGATGTTGAAGGGCTGTGTGTGTTTGTGTGTTGTGCCCTGAAAAAGTGTAAAATGAATAAATGGACTCAAGACACGATGCTTCCTCTGTCAGCGTCATGCAGAATGAGGCATCGCAGCTGAGAGCTCCCCCTTCAGGCCTCAGCAGGCATAACTAATCAATCACATGCATTATCTCTTGATAGACATTACAGGTAGATGACAGATTCATAAATCTTGGCAGACATATCTGTATATTTCAAAGGTTTTTAACAAAAAAGTGTTTTAAATCCTTCAGACTGAATCTGTTTGAACACTGATATCTTTTACAAATTATTAAATTTACATGAACTTCTACAATTGTTTTATGACATTTTTTACAAGAATTTGCTGTTTTTTGTGTGTGTGTGTGTGCGTGCGTGTTGATGTGTGTGTGAGTGTGTGTGTGTTGTGCGTGTGTGTGTGTGTGTGTGTGTGTGTGTGTGGTGTGTGTGTGTGTGTGTGTGTGTGTGTGTGCGTTGTGTGTTTGTGTGTGTGTGTGTGTACGTGTGTGTGTTTGTGTGTGTGTGTGTGTGTGTG